GGGGGGGGGTTGAATTGAATGATCAATTATTAGACCCGGACGCCCCAACACTTGCTTCGCAAGACAAACTCAAGGTATCCCCTAAAGGGCTACCTTTCGTGATTTGGCTTTCAGAGATTTGACTTCTGATCTGCCCCGGCTTCTCAGTTTTAGAACAAGTGCCTCGATCGCAAGTTATGGTCCAAGGCGCGGGATCATAGTCCCCACGCGTGGCCAATGCCCACGCGATCATCGAAAGCTCGGAGGGTGCGTATTCCTGGCATACAACCCATGTATATAACTCAATAGATACGATGCAAAGCATATGCATCTTACCACAACTACTCACTAACTACTGCTGACTGCTTTGCTCTTTGATCTACTGTTTGCACCACCGCCACACTTTCGCGCGCCATCGGCAGCAACCCAGACACATTTAAGCACCCTGTCGCTGTGCTTTGGAATTCTTTTTGATTCTTTTTGGAAGAACCCGATGCGCCCGATGTGCCCTCTAGCCCACCTTGAGCCGCAGCACTCTTTGGCGCAAGGCGGCCTTCCAGTCGTCACCGACGGGATAGGCTAGCTTGGTGAAGGCCCAATTCACCTGAGCAAAGATTCCCCGAACTGGAGAGTTGGGGTTGGACGACTTACTTTCTTCATGTTGAGATGAACAAAACCGGCTCCGTATTCTGTTCCTGTGTGAGAGTGCACATCATCTCTTTCAAATTGGCAGGTTCCTCATTGAACAGCAAGTCTGGATGTCCATATTCTGAGAGAGAGCCTTGCCAACCTTGCCCCGAAGGGTCCCATCTCCAGAACAACAAAAGAACCTCCGGGACAAGTTGACAATGGCCAGCTCCTGCGTCGTGAAGTCATCCAGCCGAGCCAGCGAGTGCCGCAGCAAATCGGCGTGGAGCGCATCGGCCCGCAGACCTGTAGGGAACGACGCTGGACGCTGGGCCGCGCGCGACGCCACATGACGCCACGAAGGCTAAAGAGTCTTACAGATCGGACATGAGAAGGACAATGATTGGCAGTGCTGTGGGTGATTTTGGAAGCTCTCCACACGAGTTGAACCCCCTTCGAAAACCCTAGAGGCCGCCGTGTTCTAGTCTACAAAAAAGCGGGAGCGGAAGCTGCTGGCCTAGGGTCGCATTGGCCCAAACGAGGTTGGAGATGTTCTGGACACCAAAGCTGTCCTCGGCACGGATTGATTGGAAGGGACATTGATAGACGAGATGAGACAAGTCAAGTTTTGACCACAAAGAAGCTCTTGCCATGAAAGTGCATTCCACACACTGGGAAAGCAATCTGAATGTCTTGCGTGAATCCCAACCTTCAAAACCCGCAAGTTAGTTCCCATCTTCCCACAACGCCCAACCACCAAGCTGGGTGCTGCCCAAGGCACCAGCTTGCTCCGGGCCTCCTCAGCGATCCGCTGCAGAAGCACCTCGTCCTTGCGGCCCACCGTGGCGAAAGACCAGGCCACGATCGCCAAGCCCTGGGGATCCAAGTCCTGCCGCCCCGGCCCGGTCGAGCGGCGCATGGACGTCGCGCTGTGCGGTGCGCTTCGGTCCGCGGAGACAAGCGGTTTCGCAGAGCTGGGACCCAGGGATTTTGAGATTTGTCAGGATGGTAGGGGGTTCATGTCCACTGATAGGCAGAGCTGGCAAAGACAAGGGTTGATTCCCTCATATTCCCTCTTTGGAAATCTTATCTAGGAGAATGTAGCTAAGAACGGGAAGAACAAAGTTCGTCGGTCGCCCATCTCCTGAACGATCTCTTGTGCCCTCAAAGAGATCCGCTGAAAGATCTCGTCGTCCCGACATTGCATTTTGGCCTCGCTGTCATCGAAACTGAACCCGTTCATCTTCATTTTGCAACGAATGGTCGTGCCCACAAACAGAAACGACAGAAGGTGTTCGATGGGTCAGATGCGTCAGTGTTGCAACGCGTTGTGATCTTGCCAGGTACCGATGTGTTTCTGGATAGCTCATCAATTCAGCAGCAACATGAAGACTAGCAGCCCGCATGTTGACATGCCCATCTCCACACGTCATCCACACGTCATCGGCAGCCAAGGTGCCATGCCCCACGAGGCATCCGACAAGCCCCAGGCTGAGAGATCCTGACCCGACCAGAAACCATGTCAAGACCATGCTGTGGTGTCAAAACCACGTACTCTGAAAGGTAGCGAAAGTAGCCCTTGAACTGAAGAAGAATCCATTGACGGCACCTCACACTCACACAAGAGAGAAGTAAAAAATGAGATAGTGCAAAGGATCTATTGCAAGACATTTTGTTCACACCCAGGCAAGCCAAATACCCTTCACGGAAGGCCCCTTGACCAAGGCCTTGCACTTGGCCCTCAGTAGCTGCAACAGCCGAGGGAAGCGACTGTCGTTCTGGGCTATCTTGGATTCGCCGGCCTCCACCTGGATTGCTGTAGTAGGGAGTGAGTCAGGTGGGAAAGGAAAATCGATTCATCATGATTCGTCTACAAAAGTAAAAAAGGTGCTCACCAGGGGGTAGCGTGCTACCGATCAGCAAAAGCTTTGAGATGTTTGAGTGAAAGATCCAACAAGCGTGATTGAAACTTTTATCGGTTTTTCCTACGCAGTAGAAACCAAAGCGCGGCATAGAGCGGCAATGGCTCAAAACCACACAAGGGGCCACTCCCGAGGTTCAGACGCTGAACTTTGCCACGCGGTGCACGGCGGTGGAGGTGTTTCGGAAATCGAACAGGTCTCCCAGATTCTCCACCACTGAGAGCACCTGCAGCTTGGTTTGGCTCTGTCCGGAACCTCGGTTGATTGGCTGTGATGTTCGTGGCTTCTCAGCGGGCCTTCTGGGCTATCCAATTTATCCATCTCGTTGCAACTCTCCAGCGTCACACGGCTGAGCCTATGTATCTTACATCAGCCTTGGTTTTGCCATTTGGGGATCTTTGATGGGCATGTGAGTCCTCATCGCTGCACCTCGCGCCAGCTCCTGCACTCTGTGACAGAGACTTGCATCTCGATGGTAAGCTGCTTGGACGGCGGAGGCGGCCGGTACACATAGCCTGCAAGCTTGCAAAAGACTGGAGTTTACAATACACAAGTTGTGGATGTAAGAGGCAGGTTTTGACACTAATCAATACTTGCAAAAGGTCACAATTTTCTGTTGCACCTGCTGCAGCAAGGTCTCAATCAACAGGCACACTGGAAACACCTGCACCTCACACCTCATAAGCCTGATACGATTAAAAATACAGTAGATCATTTTTGTCCAAAAAAATACCAACTTTAAGTTACCCAGAAACAAACGCCCCTGCAGGAAAAAAAACTGTGCATTGGTCCCACAGTTAGGCAAGCCCACTCCACAAGTCCAGCAGTCCCAGAAGCCGTGAGGTCCAAGAACGCAACCGTTGACAACGTCATCTTCTGACAGCGCCACGGCATCCATCATGGCCATGACATTGATACACTTGTGGCTGGTGCCATGCTGAAACGCATGTACAGCCAAAAACTCTTCCGGAAGTAAGAATTATATATATATATAAATCATGGATGCTGTGGGCTCGAGGTAAGATAGCTCCAATGTTGATACGACAAGCTTAGACTCGCTTCGTGGATTTCAAGGTGCTAAATGGCCTTTAGGCCAGCTTGCATTGCATCTGTGTAACTATGCAGATTGTCATAAAATGTCATAAACATCAGCGGACAATGACAAAATGTCAATCGGATTCTTGATGTCTTTGGGAGCAATTTGAACCTTGAGTAGGCTTAGCATTCATCCGTCCAGTGTTAGTCATAGTCAGTCGCATGCTTCAAAACCTTCAGCAAGTCTGACATTCAGCACCACGGACTTCCTTTCCTCCAGGAGTCATTGGATATGGCTCTAAAACCTGACACTGAAAAAGGATGCCCGTTGATGGAGAAATCGGGCAAATGAGGGCGCAAGGACGGCCAATGTGTACGTGGATGATAGTCGGATCATCAAAAAACTCATTGGGCTCTCATTCTGCTCCACCCACAACAAGTCTTACATGCGGATGAAGGGTGTCATCATCAAACCTCTGTCTTCAGGTAAAAGCTTTCTCCAACACCATAGCTTGAGTCCCTTGTTTGAAGGACTTGAAAGGTTTTGCTGAACAAGTTCTACAGATTGCATGGTGTTTCTGCATATTCGAGAGGCGCCTTTCCTCCAAAAATCAGCTCTGCCATAATCGCTATTCATGCCACGCCACCCGATCTTACAAGGAGACGCACATGCAACTCTTTGCCGGCGTATATATGTAGATAGGGGCGTCTTGGACTGAGATTCGAGTCAAGAAAAGAGTTTGTCCTTGACCTGTGGAACTGTCGCAGGGTCCTTGCAGTGTTGCAGTGGTGACTCTTTTTCAGTCATGTGTTTTTTGCCACAGCCGAGGTTGGAAATTGATTTGCGAAGTCACCATACCCTCCAAAGGCCAAGGCAGTTTCTGCAGAGGCAGGACGTTATGATTGGTTTGGAAACCGACTCGTCATAACATCTGTGATATCCTCAAGCTTTTGCAATAGGTGAGATGGACTACAAATACATCGTGCGCGCGCGTGTGCACGCATTTTTGATAGCAGGCAGGCATGCATTGCAAGTGTGTAGGCAGGGTGGTGACCGACTACGAGGTACCATGAAAAGAACTTGAGTCAAGGGCACCGCTGGGGTCGCCATCGGGTACCCAGCAGCTCGGTTACCTCGTCTTTCTGCACATCATGACCCTCTCACAGCTTGGGTCTATAGCAGTCCTACCAGACAAAAAAAAAAAAAAAAATCGTCAATCGTCGGGGTGACGTTCTCGCGAACGCCCTTTACGAACCAGAGACTGAATGAGCCACTGGCTACCGAAGTATGAGCGATTGAACATCCAAAAAGGATCTGGACACCCAGACTCGTGTTTGGATCGAATTGACTTGTTGTCGCAAAGAAACTTCTTAACATATATAATGTGCAATGTTTATTCAAGAAATGATTGCGTACGCAACTCTGCACCAGGCTTCCAAGAGTTGTAGAAAGGGCCCAGCCTAGAAAAAATTGCCTTTAGCAAATGCAGTTGCTAAATAGACTCCATGGGAAGACCGTTTAATTGCAAACGTCATCAACATATTTTGGAAGCGTCTCAGATGTCGCGTACAGCAACTGATTTTGCTTCGAGCATGTGCTTGGGCTGACTCATCGTCGTGGAGTTCGCTTTACAATAAGGCTCCATCTACCGATTGAAAAACATGAATTAGGGCAACCTGGGAGCTGCCATTCTTCACCGGGGCTATTCTAAATGCCAGGCCCCTGCCACATTGCTTGAAGTTATTGCATCGAGATCCTTCGCTGGCTCTAGACTCCCAGAACCCTGAACCCTCATGAGTTTGCCCAATGGTGTTTGGACCTTGCAAGTCGATTAAGGTCAAATCCTTGTCGATTGTTTTTACTTGGTCTGGCTCCGAAGACGTACTATCAACATGGAGCTGCGGTTGTGATCCAATGAATCCTCATCTTGCGCAAAGGGAAACGGTTTTAAGGACGCAGGGACTTGGGCTGCAGTCAACGGCTGTTCAACCCAACGACCGGCCCCAAACCCGATCCATGCTTTGTGACAAACCTTTTTGAGACCTTACCTATAGTTGCAGCCTTCGATGAAGCACTTGCGTGCGCAAGTCAAGAACATAGAAGAACCAGAAACGTCACCACGTGCCCTTCTAGGCCTCGGTGCTTCAAAAGGCATTAAGCACATTGAAAGTACATGGTCTCCAGCTTGTAGCTGTTCGTCTTCGACACTACCAAGTCGGGGACAAGGTGTGTAACCCCGGGCGGAGAATCACAACCATTACATATATAACAAAGAATTGAACGTCCCCCATGCAGGGGCTGCACAACAAATAAATCTTTTGCCGTCTAAACTGTTCGACAACATTCTACAATGAACAAAAGGGTCGGTCTCTCTTTACCAAAAGCCGTTGTTACAAAATGTGTCTATATCGAGCGCAAATCACCGGCAACAAACGTGCAACTCACACGACACGAATAGCTTCAAACGTACAGGAATCATCCAGCATCGCGTCAGAGAAACAAATCTGTGACTAGAGAACTCACAGCCTTCTTTGCACGCGCTTGAGTATTTTGCAGAATATGTGCGTTGATGTATTCCATAGTATACATCTGCTTTGTCATATTCACCCATGTAACAGCCTTTTTCTTCACCATGATCTTGTGTTTTGGCTGTACACTCAGCCTTCACATGAAGGAAGTTCTGTGGCTCACTTCTCTGAATTGAATGGGACGTCAAAATTCCGAGCAAGCGGCGTACTACACCGGCCGCTCAGCAAACACTGTCTTTGACGACAAAACTTAGGCACTCGGCCAAACAAGAATAGAAACAACTTGATGATGAGACTAGCAGTAAACCTGCAACCTCAAAGGTTTCTGCCTCTGGCGTGGCCTTCCGCCTGCCTGGCTGCTGGTGGTCTTCAAGCCGCGGGCTTTAGCCAAAGAGTGTCTGATGATTGCATCCCGTTCCTGGCAAGGCGGGCACAAAATCTGGACTTGGGAGGACATCGGATTGCAAATCTAACATGGGTCCAAAGACTTGCAAATTGTCACGCAAGGACCCAGAAGGATTTGGAGCAACAATTGCAAGAACAGCACAACGAACCTGGCACTGATTGAGCAATTTCCACAAATGCCTTGGAATCTTTGAGTTGCACATTGCTCTGCGCTCGTGAACGGAAAAAACACTTGGTCAGCACTCTCTGGGGACGGTACGTCGGCCAGCTCGACTCCGTCTACAGATTCCTTGTAGTTGCTGGTCGTCGCGTACTTGCCAATGAAGTCGGCAATCTCACGAAGAGTGGTCTTGTCAGCATCCAAACCAAATGCAATTGAATAGAAGGACCACCATGGAGATGGACTCAAGGACGCAGCAAACTCTGCAATAGCAGACTTTCGTTTGTCTGACCCACCTCCATCCTGACCGTCTGACATAAATACTACCACTAGTTCAGACTCAGACTCGTAGAGTTCTTCCTTCTGAACACACTCCGTACCGCTCTGGAACGCCGCGGCGAAATCGGTGCTCTGGAAGGGTGGCTTGAGCGTTGTCAAGAGTTCTGAAAGCTCCACGCTGGTCAGGGAACTGCCAACTATTTTGGCCTTGGTGGAAAACACTACAATGGAGAAGAAGCACGGGACCCACTCCTCCTCAGGGATCAATTTTCGGACTGCATGCTGCAAGGCCTGCCATTTTTCACCTCTCTCGCCATGCATGGATCCCGAGCCATCGAGAATCAACAAATAGTGTCTGGGAGGAAGTGGAACAAGGCTCCGCTCGCCGTACTTGGTGAACTGTAGGCCAAAGCGCTCGCAAACGCGAGGGCCGTGCCGCTCCCACACAATCTGAGACTTCGCTTCCAAATCAGGCCGAACCGCATCCGACACGGAGAAATCCCAATCTGAATGGCGCTCTTTGAGCTCCTTCCAGGTCACTTGCCCATCTGGCTCCTTGATCTGTGTCTCATCCTGCATACAAGAATTGGTCAAAAAAGCAAAGCAGCAACAACCTAAACAAGAAAAAACTATTTAGCTGGCGACACCACAAAATCTCAACCACAACCATCCCAACAATGACGAGAACAACACCAGCGACCCCGAATAGTACTGCTAAAACAGTGACAGCTTGACAACGCAAAAAAAATAAGGTTCCTTCATCTCTGTGCATATCAAAGTGGATGGAATCTTGCGACCCGAAGAAAAGAGAAGCTGCCTCCCTCTCAATCCACGAGGCAAATGCCAGCAAGTTCGATGGACAGTGTGATTTGGATCTGGATTGTCGCACAGGCGCTCACAGCACGGGCATCTGACGCTGCAAGGGATCAAGTGATACTTGAACTCCTTCTTCGATCGGCTTGTTACCTCTTGTACTTCAGACTGCATGGACTTCTCCAAGAGCTCCATCTCAGAATCCAATACATCAACAGCAGCCTTTACAAAGAAGTGCAAGTTCCCCACTCTCTCCAAGCTTACAGCCTGGCCGGACTTTGTGAACAATTGCCAAAGCTATAGGCTGAAGCACTGTTTATGTAGTCGGCTAAAACTTGACTCCGCAAACCCTTTAAAACTATATACACTTTAGCAAAGTAACTTAGACCAAAAAGAAAGTATATTAACACGGAACGCGGCCAAGCTCCCAAGTAGCCTAACCTAGAACAGACTGCCAAAACGTCTCCTCCAAGATAGGAGAATTCTATAGAGTTCTATGTTAGTGTCAGGTCCCTCTGTCCAAGCAAGTTCTATGTTAGGCTTGCTTCCCTTGGTCCACACATCCTCCCTCCCTTCAAAAAGGAGGAGAGAACAGGTTTTACCTGTAACATTTCTCTACCTCAGTGCAGCTTGCTGTACTGTATCTTGAAGGATGGAAGCCATTTGTGTGGGGACCCCTTTCCGATGCCAAACAAGTCATTTCTGGTGGCAGTTTAATAAAAGATTTTATACAAAATGTTCAAGTGTTGTTTGGTTGTTTTGGTTCACCCAGTGTGAATACTAGGTAGCCAACTTTGGACGACAAGTGCTGTACTGTAAGAAGGGCAGCCAATACTGTATCATTGCCGTACCGACAGCATCACACACAGCCGTTAACATAGAACACAGGGTGACATTTCTGGGAAGTACTCTACCTCATTGTAGCTTATCTTGAAGGATGGAAGCCATTTGTGGGGAGACCCCTTTCAAAGGCCAAAAAACAATTCTGGGTGCAGTTTAGTAAATGAGTTTATATATACAAAATGTTCAAGTGTTGGTTTGGCTGTTTTGGTTCACCCAGTGTAAACACTAGGTAGCCAACTTTGGACCGCAAGTGCTGTACCGCAAGAAGGGCGGACAAGTACTGTACCATTACTGTATCGACAGAATCGCACACAGCCGTTAACATAGAACACGGGGTGACATCTCTGGGAAGTACTCTACCTCATTGTAGCTTTTCTTGAAGGATGGAAGCCATTTGTGGGGAGACCCCTTTCCGAGGCCAAAAAAGCATTTCTGGGGGCAGTTTCGGCAGTTTAGTAAATGAGTTTATACAAAATGTTCAAGTGTTGGTTTGGCTGGTTTGGTTCACCCAGTATAAACACTAGGTAGCCAACTTTGGACCACAAGTGCTGTACCGCAAGAAGGGCAGCCAATACTGTACCATTACCGCACCGACAGAATCGCACACAGCCGGGAACATAGAACACGGGGTGAAATTTCTGGGGAGTACTCTACCTCGTTGTAGCTTATCTTGAAGGATAGAAGCCATTTGTGGTGGAACAATTTCAGAGGCCAAAAAAGTAATTTCTGGTGGCAGTTTAGTTGGTTTGGCTGTTTTGGTTCACCCAATGTGAATACTAGGCAGCCAACGTTGGACGACAAGTGCTGCACTGTAAGAAGGGCAACCAATACTGTATCACTACCGTGCCGACAGAATCACACACAGCCGTTAACATAGAACACGGGGTGACATTTCTGGGGAGTCTTCTTTGTACTCTACCTCATTGTAGCTTATCTTGAAGGATGGAAGCCATGTGTGGGGACATCCCTTTCCAAGGCCAAAAACATCATTTCTGGGGGCAGTTTAGTATATAAGTTATTTTTTTGTTCACCCAGTGTAAATACTAGCGAGCCAACTTTGGACCACAAGTGCTTGGAGGTGGAAATCGCGGGTTTTGAGGTGGAGGACCAGGAGTTTGGAGCGAGGGAGCTTGGAGCGTGCAATACGCATCACAACACATCACAAACTATCAGGAGGCGTGGGGTCTGTGTGAGGGTTTATGAAAATTTAGGATGCCCGCCCTCCCGGGCTCTGAATCTACGTTAACATGGAACCTGCCAAACACACATTCCACTAACATGGAATTCCTGCATGGGCACTAAGGCACTAAGTGACACGTGTTTTGCGGGCTATGTTAGCCCTCTGGGGGCGCATTTTTTCTGCTTACATGGAACCTGCGCCTTTAAAACATGTATGGTTAACATGAACACCTGGAAAGTTGTTTTAGTTTTTTTTTGGGCTAAGTAATTCTGCTGAAGAGTAATTATATAACTATAATAGCGATTGTCATGGACCTTCACAAGCCAAAAGAAAACCAAAGTGCCTGCACAGCACTTCTGAGGACAGCATCACCTACGGGAGATCCATCATGTCGGAGAGCCTCAGAAATCATGATTCCATCGTCTTCTTCACACTCCTCCAGCTGCCCATTCACGATTTTCCACTTTGAAGGAAGGTGTTCCTTTGTCAGGTATGCAACAAGCCACTTGCCCAGGGCTTGCTTGCAGAAATCCTCTGTGACACTGGGATCACATGTAACAAAGTTCCTCGCATCCAGTAGTTTCTGAGAGCCAGCATTGTCGGCTTGCAAGTCCGGGCGGTCACGAACTTCCTTCAGCTCATACAAAAGAAAATTCAGCATGCGCTTGAGGTCTTGCGCCATGTTCTTCACTTCAGGCGCAAGTGGTTGCGAGACTCGGGCCTCAAACCTGCTCTGAAGCTCCTCTTCAATCATCTCCTTTGGGTTTTCTATGTATTGGAACTGCTTCTCCTTCTCCTGATCTGACACATGATCTTTGACCAAGAGGTTGTCCAGGTGACTCTGGATGCTCTTCCTGGTAAATGTCTGCTCTTCCTTTGAAATAGTCTTTTGCGTCAAAGCACGCAGGGAATCCAATGCTTGGTCACGGCAACGTTGTACAATCTGCGCGATCCAAAACTGTGCAATTTGTGCATCAGCTTCGGGTCTTTGGAGTACCTGCGTGCAAAAGTATTTGCGCTGTTTCTCTTTGTCAGCCTTAAACTCCTCAATGGGCTGCATATGCTGCTCCCAAGCCGCATCTGCCTGTCTTTTCCAAGTGTGTATCATTGCCATGCTGACAATGTCACCACATCCATTCAAAGACAGTTTGCGGCCAAAATCCTGCAGCTCACCGTTGACTTGTTTCACCACATCCTCCCCAAGACGATCATGGATCTTTCGCATGCTGCTCAATCGGGGCTCTTGGTCACCCAACAGGTCTGAAAAAGTCTCGTTGACTAGCTTGATCACTTCCTTCTCCAGAATGTCCCATGAAACACCTTGGCCACCCTTCCAAGTCCAACCTAGAATGGTTCCCTTGGGCATTTCTGCCGCCTTCACGAACTTGTACGAGCTGCGTTGCTTCGATGGAGCAGGGGTGTCCAGTGCTTGAGTAGGGTCTTCGGACGGCCTGAAAGGTTGCGGCGGACCCTTTGTGAAAGTCTGTGCGCGAGAGGACACATCTGCGAAATGCGGCTTGCCCTCCCGGGGATACGCATCGTAAATGTCCTGCAAACAATTGTTCTCAAAGGCTGACCGATCAAATTTGCTTTCCATGTCCTTGATGATCTCAACCCACACCTCTTCAAAGACCTGGTTTGCTTGCTTCTCATTGTTGATTTTGGTCTCACTGCTGTTTCCTCGGAGCAAATTGCAGATCTTGGCGTTCAGCTGCTTAGCCCCTCGTGAGCGAGCATCTCCTGGCAACAAAAAGGCCAAACACATCCAAACACGGAATGGTGCAAGTTCACACTTTACAATACTCGTGCTCAACATCTGGCTTTGTTCACAGCAGCTTGCAAGACTGAGGCCAGCACTCACTTGCACTTGCTCCCAGGCATGAGTAGCGTCCCGAACCCACGCTGACTGCTCCGTGCCCAACAACGACGACAATAGCGAGGACATCTCTTTCCTCAGTCTTTCTTCACACTCATACTTGTTCATGTAGTTCGCAAGTTTCTCCTCTATACCTCCCGCTGCCTTTTGAAAGGCTGACTTGAGTTTTCTCACCAATTCCTCTCGGTTCTGAAAGGAGCTGAGCGGTCCTTTAGCACATTCGTTCCAGATAGAATCCCTTGCTTGCTGATGTTCAGCTTTGCGGTCTTCGGTGTAGAAACTTTCAGTCATGTTGCTTTCGATCCACTGCTCAATCAGATTCATATCACGAAGGTGCTTGACATCCGATAGATCAGTAAGGCTGGGAAATTTCATGATCGTTAGCAACACCGGCTCTGCCATCCCCAGCCAATTGGTTGCGTGCGCGAAGGATGTTTGGCCCCATTTGCCAAGTTTCTCTGAAGCCAACTTTGCACAAACTCTGCTAAACTCATCGGATGGGCGCAAGCAGGTCCAATCCTGCCAACTGGAGCCTCTGACAAAGGTCTCTGAAGAAGACATTGTTGGAACCACAGCAATTGAAGGCTCATCAAGCCTCAACACTTCACGCAACGACTCTACTTCACTGTCTGCTACTGCGTCTTTCAGCTCATCGAACATCTTGGCAAAGGCTTCCTCATGATGAGTGGGCTTCGGGTCTGACTCCTGGTTCATGATCCATGTAATGCTTGGGTGAGGCACCTTGTTCATCTCCAACTCCTGCAATGAGTGTGCACAAACTTGCACGAGTTTCTTCATCCTTGGCAGTCAAGTATGACAGTACGACCATGACACGATGTGTTTTCCAAGTTGGAGCTACTGAACAACAAATTGAGTCGGCTACAGAACTTAAAAGTTACACTCCCTTAATGGGTGCAGCCATGCGTCGGCTCGGTCATGTTGCCCTTGATGGTAATATCGATTCGGTTGGAAACTGCAAAAATGAAAAGCATCATGATCCTGTCGAATTTGGGATCTGCCCTTTCTGCGGACTGCAACCCCTCTGTGTCCAGGATCAACATCACCTTGCCATCAGTAAAATGAAAGCTGCCGAAGATTCCTCTAGTGCACCTGGCAACTGACACCCCAAAACGGCTGCCATAAAGATGATTGCTCAAGGTTGATTTGCCGGAGCTTTGAGGCCCGATCGTACTGCAGACTTCAAGTGGCTTCTTCTGCATGAACTTCTTCAAACATCTGGAGTTGAAGAGTTTCCGGAGGAATGCTTGTGGGAAGTGCAAGTGTTCGCCGTCAACGATCTCAAATGGCATGCCCTTCCGCACAAGATTTGCATAGGCCTCGACAATGGCGTCCTCGTCTTTCAGAGCAGTGCTATGAGACAGGAATTGGACCACTTCTTTATGCAAATACGATGTTGCCAGCAAGACATCCACGTCTGGCTTACCTCGCAGTCTGAATTCCTGCTGCATGAACTTAAACAACCTCAGCAAAGCACAGTTCAATGCTTCCACCGAAAAAGCAAATAAACGATCAAATTTGCATGTTGCCAACACACTTGTCCACGCATCAACTGAGCCTGCAACTGCTCAAGACATGCGTCCGAATCCTCTGCCTTGAGGACTTTCACAAACTCTTGCGTCAAGTTGCTTGGTGAAATATGTTTCCTCCTGTTTTGCAACCCACGCCCTTGGTGGGGAGCAGAAAAACGGACCGACTGAACACACTGCAGACAAAGGAAAGATGTACACACTCTTTACGCATGAAGGCTTTTCCAAGTCATTCGAAGCAAAGTACACGGTATAGGCTTAACCCAGAGAAGGACTGCTCTGGTATGGCTCTAAGGGAGGGTCACTCTTTTCTCAGATCAATGGCAATGCCACGAGCGTTCTTCTTCTTCTCACATGAACGCAAATCGGCCTCCACCTTGCAAAGCCTGAGCAAACGAGTGACGCCTGCATTCTCATTTCTGGACACAGCAAGTCTACCAATTGAGCTTTGGATCAACCCGGTGTTGAGGCTCTGACTTGACATATTGCTCCGTCATTGGAAAATCAATTGCCCGTTCTTGCCCATCAGAGCAGAATACATCAGCACATTTCCTGGCAATGCTGCGAAGGGATCCCCAAATCTCCGGCTCCTGGGCATTAAGGAAAGGGAGCATGTCATTCGCGCCAAAGAGGGAACTTGGCCTTGGAGCACGGTCTTGCCACCAAACAAATTTTGCACTTTGCCACTGAAGCCCCTGGCACCCTAAGCTCCCAACGGCGCCTCCCAAATTTTGTTGTCTGGCAAACGATGCTTCTCCAGCTCCTTGAAGAGAAACTCCTTGATTGAGGCCAGAAGCGGTCCTTTTCTGCCAGCAATCTGCATGTCTCGAGAAGGAATGCTAAGGAGTTGGACCTGCAGCGGGACATGCAATTCCAAACTTGGTCCAACACAAGAACCAGAGATGACTTTCACAGCATTGCCCACCCTAGATTCGTGGGAGTTTCAGGATCCCACCTTCTCGCCAAAAGGGTGGGCTGAGATCTCGCGGACAGTTGAGCAGTCAGGATCCCACACGAAGACAAAAGCGCACTTGCACTTGGAGCTGGATGTCACGCGGCTGACTAATGACTGTACCTCCTTCAACCCCAAGTCGTCTAGGCCCATGTGCAGCAAAGGGAACTGACACGCTTCAACAAGTAGATGTTTCGCTGCGGCTGCACCGCGTACATCAAAGACGCCATGCGCATCAATCACGGCAAATTGTCGATCCGGCTCCTTGAAATTCAAATCGTACTGCATCTGGACAAACTGTTGCTCGGAGTCTCCAAATCGAGCTCCGTGAGCCTCATCGAAGCGTGTACAAAACAATTGGTTCAAGAGCTGGGAAACGCCTTGCACCTGCTTGGTCAGCTTCAAGCTCACCAGAGCCGGCCGCTCATGCATGCTCCAAAGAACCTCCTTGCAAGAACGCACTTTCGGCCACGCGGTTGTCAAAGGGATGGCTTCGTATCTCACGTGGGACTGGATGAGGTGCCTCTTCACGTCGTCATCGACCACATCCAGCAGCCAGAGAAACAACGAGTTCACCGATAAGCCAACTGACTCTCCACTGCCCTCGAAATGTGCTTGAAAAGTTCGGTGCCCCTGCAGTTTGGCCACGAAACTCTCAAGAGGATGACCCACCTTCAGCATGTGGCACAGGAAGACAGCCAGGTTTTTCCACCCTGCCTCGGATCCACCAAACCTTTCCATCAGTTCATCTTGCTGCTGGGCGTCAACGGGTTCCAGCTTGCGGTAAGATTCGAAGGTGATCTGTTCAATGCAAGGAAACATACGAGTAGCCAAATCTCGGGTTTGAGTGTGAGTCTGCCTCTTTGTGGGCCGTGAAGCCATCCACTTCCAGAATTCAACGACGAGGCCAAATGCAGCCAATGTTCCACAACAAGCAGCAACTCTCATGGGAGGCAACTGACGCACAATCAAAATCGCATGCAACAACTTCGCGCGGTGCTCCTGGAGCGCAAGAATCACTGGAAAGAAGCTGAAATAGCAAAACAAAAACTACCTATGATGGTTTCTATGAATGGTTAGTCTACGGAACCAAAACGTGTTTTACCTGTGCCTTTTCCCAAAACCACTCAAGCAATGAGCTTGAAATTTGAGTTTTGCATAGTTTTGCCATTGCCCTGGCCTGGAAAATGAGCAAGGGAACCAAGGTACTCACAGAAGCCAACAAGGTAAAGACCTGCAGCGAAGTGATCACATGGTATGTGAGGCCAATGTTCTAATCCTGGCGTTGCACATGGCTTTTCACAGAACGCTTTCAAGCCAAAATAGATGTTATTTCGTGTTTAAAGAGTGACCCCAATCAATCGTTGAGCCAGGGGACCGTCAAGAGCAAACCTCGTGGCCGGGAAGTCGCGAAGTTCTGCGAAGCTCGGGGCGTACGACGTCGAGGAAGAGCCCTGCCCACAGGCAAGGTGCGTCGCGGTGCCTGGCACAAGACTAGCTTCCCCACGCACAGAAGACCAGAGCATGTCTTGAGCCGTTGGTATGCAAAACTTTGTTGATCCATGCCCTTGTCCAGGGCCATGCAAGCATTGAGATTAGTATTTGCAGTAAGATCTACAGTACCCTTGCTTGGTGAGACATGAATGTACAACCGATTGCTCAAGAACTTGCCCTTGCCTGTAAGAAGACCAAGGAAGCCAGAGCGCCGGCAGAACCCAACAAGGTACGAGCAACGACCTCGCAAGGCCATGTTAAAGGAATCTTGTCCTAGCAGCTAATAAAAACTATAGGACCTAAAGCGTTCCTTCTTGCCGCACAAATCGAAACAAAAGAAAAAATGCAATCCTGATCAGGTGTTGAACCAGGAAACCATCCACCCCACACGTTGGGGTTGTGCAGCGGCAGGGGTTTTGGAAGCTCGGGGCATGCGACGCGAAAGCAGGGTGCGGGGCGGCACCTGCCACAAAGTCTGTTCTTGCGCTGAAACCAGAAGACTACCGGGTTGCTTGTGCTCCAACACTTGTGCAACTGACTTGTGAAGCAAGGCAGAAAGACACAAATGCACAATAGATCTCAAAATATGCTGCCTTGCCTGCCCAACCTTGCCACAAACAAAATTGCGAATAATGCCGAATGTGGAAGTCATCGCTTCCATCGCCAACCTCAACATTTGCATAAGGGGTACCCTCACACACTGCATCATTTCGGTTGAGTTCGTCACAAGATTGAAGTGTGTGGCCAAACTGTATGTGAGCCAAACTTGCTGCAGGGAAAATGTGGGTAGAGAACTGCAAGCCACAGCACTCAATGACACTTGTCAAGAGTTGCCAGTATGGTTATGAGAAGCGACACACAAACATTCACCTATTCGCTACCCAACTCCGCTCAAATTTGTCCGGTCGGCCTCATCACCTCAACCAACTAGATCCAGAGTGAGCTCTGGAGCTCGAAGCATCAAGTTGCTCTTCACGAAATCGTGCTATCTGCACAAGCCAACCTAAAAACCATCAGCCGCAGCCAATGTTTCACACAGAGGCTCCAGGCTGATGAGCCCCACTCACATCGCCTCAACCCTTGACATTCTGCACTTGCATGTTCCAATCTCTGCCTCAACCCATGGCTAGTGCAAGATGCTCTCTGCTCATGACAAATCCAACCGTGCTCCACTTGCGATGCGCATCACAACAAGCACCGAGACTCCAACTGGCTCAGCCCTGTCTCTGTAGTGTGCACTGCAAATGGCTGGCAATGTGTTCCTATTCCTGTCGGCACAGTCCAACAACTTTCTAGACCTTCTGCTTGGCTTCCGCACCCTGGCTGGGTAGCTGATCTTGCTACCTTGGCCTCACAAAGATGCAGCAACGAGTCAACCCCAACAAAAAAGCGGCATCATGAATCATTGCGAATCAAACAACCGGAATGCAACACTCACATTGCACTTGGAACCGTTCAAGAAACACAAGAATACCGTACACCTCCCTGAGCTGATTCATCATATAACAACTCCAGTCTGCGCTTTCTCTGCAAGGGCATCAAGATCATACAGCTCAAGGAGAGACAGTTGAATCAATGGCCCCCGAATGCCGGGACATAAGGGTCACCATGAGCAGTGCTTGAGATAGGAGCAGCCAATTCCAAGCCTTTCCAGTTTTGGAACAACACTTGGACTGGGAAACTACACACCCTTTGACACAACGAAAACCCTCAATTGGCAAATCGGCACTCTTTGCCCCGCAAGCATTTCAGAAAGGCAGTCTGGAAGCATGACTGAGGGTGGGCAAACAAATAGTTGCCAGAGCAGCGTCATCCCAGCCAAGTAGGAGTTGAGGAGTGGCACAACAACCAACGCTTCAAGCATCTGGCACAACTGATTGCAGCCACCTAGACATTGACACGGACACCTGCATCTTGGTGCTATCCACTTGTTGAATCAGCCTCCTATTCTGCGATTGGCAACCAAACACTGCGTGCTATGGAAGTAACTTGAAAGCAAATTCGCTGCAATTTCACAGGCAAATTCTTCCTCTGGCTTTTTGTAGGAGCCTTGCACGCAAACTTCCAGAAGTTGACCATGTAAGCCGATTAGGAACCTTGACAAAAAACTCTTGCAAAGCCTCCATATTCTGACACGACCCAAGTTCAATCAAGCTCAGAGAAAAAATGTGAGTCCCTGACGACACCGTCGTACAGCATATGTTCCACATCCAGCCATTGCAAGCATGTCCTTTGCCATTGACGACGCAGGAAACCAGTGGTGTATGGAAGTGTCTGGACATGTGAAAAGGGCTTTCTGTGGGGAGATCACACATAGAGTGTAGAGTCTAGAGTCTAGAGCCTTCCTGTAAATCCTCATAACAGTGGTCAAGCTGCCTTGGCTCTGAGCTCGCGGCCAGCTTGTATCTAGCTAAGCAGGACCTGACACCAGCTTACATAATCCAAAAGGTTTAAGCCTAAGCCCCTCAAGCTCCAGGATCTGCAGCTCAACATGACAACCGAATTGGCCTTCCTGGCCAACCTTGTCATCTCCGTCTGCGTGAGTGCCATTCACCAGCCACCTGGGACAGGTTCACAAGGCTTTGAAGTGACGTTGCCAAAGGATCGCCTCTTGAGACCAGTACGGAGGTTGAAAACACGAAGACAAACGATACACCCTGGAAGCTTCTCGTTGACGGCCTATCGGCCTGGTGTACATGGTGTACCTTCACAGTTCCTGCAAGATTCTGAAAACCTCCTGGGAGAAGAAACTACAGTACACTCCTTGGCTATCCTTAAAAGAGTACTTCTATGTCAGGCCCTTCCTGCCTCTCTGCGATATGCAACTTCCAGCATGTACGGGATCAACTTTGCATGTTTGGAGCCTCAAAGGGTCTTTCCCGCAATTGCTACTTTGCAGATACCACTCTGTAAAGCTGGCCATGCACAGTGCTCGCACAACAAAAAGATCATCACATGCGTCTTATACTACGAGCATTTCAAGCAATTCCTTTTGGTACCCTCTCATTGTTGTCTCCGATCTGTACGACTATAGCTTGGAAAGACTACATTACATTGATGGACTTCAGGCACATGGGCGCAGTCATTCACAAGTAGATCATCTCATCTCCCATAAATATAATATATATATATACACTGATAAAGCTGACGTGCAGCGTTTTCAGTATTCTAGATTCTAAATACTGTGTTACGCGGCTAGGAGTCCAGGACACCGTGTCATCAACACCGCGCAGTACATACAAGGCTACTCAACACCTACGACCCCAAAAAAGAGCTTTTGTGTGTGATGCTGATGTTGTGACTGGAAGGCATTGTTGATGTCTTGCTGAAATAGTTAAAGGCAAAAGGCGTAAAGTAGAGAAAGGTGATCAGTAAAATGCAAACAAAAGTTCAAAGAAAGGGTAAAGCCACCTAAACCGCTCTTTAAGTGTGCTTCACTTTGCTTTATGTTCGCCGGTTCACCTTTCTTCCATCTGTTGTTTCATCTTTTCACCTTTGTTTCACCTTGTTTCATCTTGTGTTTAACCTTTTATGGCTTTTGACCAAACCCCTGTTGTTCAAATGTGTTCACCTTTAAATGGTTTTAGGCTTAAAAGGTTTCCTAAAAATGTATAGGGCAAAGTTGTAAGGTGCTGGTGCTGAATTGTTTGAAGTTTTTCTTGGCCGAATTTGGATCCAAGACGAGTTTACCCGAGCTGAATTGGAACCAGCATCGCTTGTATCGCAGAAGCGCGAACTCAGAAGAAACCCAACGTTTGGGTTATATGTCTTTAAACCATGGTTCGTCAACGTGTAGGTGGGTGGTGGGATCAAAGCTGGAACGTTTTCTTAGGTCTGCAAAGACTTTTGCCCACACTTGTTTGGAAGATGTGAGTGCCCGAGCTCTTGTACTGTTGCGAATCGTTTCGCCGCGTCGCGCCTTGTTGCCTTGCATAAGAAAATATAATTTGTCCTGCCAAAATGGCCTTAATAATACGTCTGGCAAACTTTTCCCTGCACATTTGGTCAAAATTTTACCAAAGCAGGAAACCCAGACTTTATAAACTACTTTGATGCGTCAGATCCACCTCCGGAAATGGAAGCTTGTCTGTGGAAGTTTGCGCGCAAGTGCGCGCTCAACTACCGCCTTGATGCCTAGCTGGGACCTTGAGGTTGACCATTGTGCTGAGGCGATAGTGATGTTTGTACTAGTGCAGTGCGAGTTTAGCCTGGACTCTTGGAGTCGATAGGAAGTTGCTGCAGCATGACGGCTGTCGGTGGCTGCAGGGGCGGGGTGTGCTCTGAAAAAACAATGTAACATGAGAGAAACACAAACATTGTATTTTGATAGTTACAGCCATAGAAGGATGCTGGATTTGGCATCAAACAATGACTGCACATTGTGACCCCGGCGGCATGCCAAGGGGACATTTGCATTACAATTGCAAATCAGTGCCGGGCAAAGAAGTCAAGAATCGTGATGGTTGCCTCGCACATGCCGTTCACATTGAGCACAGATTGTATTCTTGAACATGGCAGGAACATCAGTGAACTGATTGGACCCAGCAATCAAGACTGATCAGCTGCGAGATGTGGTCCCATAAATGAAACCCATCTAGCAACTGTTGCAAGACAGAAAAACAAACAAAAATAACGAAATCTCGAAAAGATCCCGTCCGGATGGCTTCAACACCGCGACACTTCCACTATGACAAAAGGGGTTGCCAGGGACGGTGAGACACCATGAGCAATCACCAAGCAGGCAAACAGTCCCACAGTCCCAAGCATTCATGTCGTCTCCAATGGCAAACATTTTGCTCCTCCACCCCCCCCAACGCATGTAACTTCATCGGCCAAAGTGCAAGGCAAGACCTGTCCGCGATCCCTTGGGGGAACAACTTAACCGGGAGCGGAGGAGGAGGAGGAGCAACAAATACATGGAAAGAATCAGTACAGTACATGGGCCACTGGTGGGGCACAGGGCCCGCTGGGTACTACATTTGCAGAGGCGTTGCCAAAATAAGATGAAATGATTCACAATTGACAAACAACCATCTGATAGCAATGTCAACAATGTCCGTCATCAATCAACTAAATGTTTGAGATTCCCCCAAGAAAGGCAACTGGGGTTTCAAAAGTTGTGCAAGGACCCTTCAAAGAACAATGTAGATTATTGATTATTGATAAAGAGGTTGTGATTGTTGAATCTGATTACAGCTCGCACTAAAGTGACGCGAGTGTACAATCATAGAGGTTTGCAATGAAACAGTCATGGTGCCTGCCAAAGGCCTGCAGGGGGGCATGAAGGCTCTCTGACATCCAGCGGAACTAAACTCAAATCAAAGCACAGGAATGGTTTTTCATTGTTGGGCAAATGTTTCAGTTGAATCTCGTTTTGAAGCGATTTGGATGTAAGTTCGAGCCAAATCTTGCAAACACCATCAAAGTAAGTTCACAAACTACAAGTATGTTAGAACAAAAAGGCCACACACGTTGAAAAAACTTTGTTTACCGTCTCGGTGTCCAGACTCCATTTCAGCAGTTATCTAAAACTATGGTTCCCAACACGAATCTTCAAAAATGGTCACTCCTACCAACGCGTTGATGTGTGTTTGCCTTTAGACAAAACAACTATTTCAACATTAGGCAAAATCGCCGCATGTCCAAAATTGTTTGAGAATTACACCAGCATGGACCCCAAATAACATTTGTTCAGCTGGTTCGCTTTCAACGACCATGGCGAACACAAAATCTAACGATTATACCAGCACGGAACGGCGGCCGCGGCCCCA